GTTTATTACTATAATTGAAATTGACTTTTTTTAAGTATATATAACAAGCTTAAACTATATTCTATCTGCTTAAAAAAAAACTATGTTTCGTCAACTATGTGCAAATTTATTAGCAAATGAGCAGTTTGTGACCAAAACTGTGTATGCCAAGCATGGTTTTGTCAACGTGCTCCCTGAAAATCAGCTTGCTGTCTAGTGTTAAGCAGAGGTAGACTACCGCTTTCGACCATTCCACCACTGTGCCGTTCAGGCAGATCTTATTATTCTCCGACGGAATAATTCTGGGAGATTTAGAGTGTGGAAAGATGATGACCTGGGTCTTTGCCGCGTTGATAAGGATCTTCCAGCTGTTGAAATATTCAGACAGGACGTCCAGGCCTCTCTGAAGTTTGGCAGTCAGAGCTCCGATGACCCTACCCTTGAAGACGATGGATGTGTCATCTGCGAACAGAGACAACGATCCACCATCAGGGAGAGCCGGCATATCGGAGGTGAACAGGTTGAATAGAATGGGGCCAAGGATGCTTTCTTGTGGAACCCCGGCACTGATGATGACAGCATCCTATGTGATGCCATTCAGAGAGACTCGGAACGTCCTGTCCGATAGATAGTTATTTATTATCTTCACTAGGAAGATTGGAAGACCGTACTGCTTCAATTTGAACACCAGGCCATCATGCCAGACATTGTCGAATGCTTTTTCAACGTCCAACAACGCCATGGCAGATGTTTTCGAAACAGAATTGTTCCGTCTGAGAATGTTTGTTACTCGAGTCAGCTGGTGGACGGTCGAACGACCTTTCCAAAAACTAAACTGTTCCTCGATTAACAAGTTGTTTTCTTCGGTACAAGTTAGCAGCCAGTGATAGACTGCTCTTTCAAACTGTTTTGATAACCCTGAGAGAAGGCTAGGAGGGATCCTTCCCAGGTTTCCGGATGGACATGACTTTAGCTGACTACCAACACGAGGGGAAGTAGCCATGTCGGAGGCATAGATTAAAAATCAGTGCCAGATGGTTGTAGAATGTGCAACTCAATTGTTTGAGTTCCAGATTCAGGATGCTGTCGAAAACTGGGGTCTTCATGTTTTTAGATGATTTTATATAGGCCAACACCTCGTCAGCCGTAATCTCGGATTCCTCGGGAAAAATATTAGGAATTTGATGAAGGTTGGCTGCGTTTACAGCAACCTCAGCTTCGTGAGGGCTGACGATGTTTTGTCCGAGATTATGGGAGCTGACGAAGTGTTGACCCATCGCGGTAGACTTCTCTTCAGGAGCTATCAGATGAACCACTGGGTCTCCGCGACTATCCACTGGGTCAGTGGTGGAATGGGTCTTGGCTTATTTTTAAAGATTTTGGTTAGTTTCCAAAAGAGTTTTGCACCATCTGGGTGAGAGCGGATCCTGTTCGCAATATTCTGATTTCTGAGGTCCACCATGCTAGCTTGGATGGTTTTTGTTATGCGATTACAATGGGTCTTCAAGACAGGTGAGCCAGAACGCTGGTATTGCCTTCGAATGGAGTTACGGAGTCTAATGATATATTTGATAATTATATCAAGGTTCAAAGTATTACTCCAGACAGGTTACTGGCACGTGTTGTTCCCTGGCCCGGAATATTGCTTCCTTGATGGAACGCAGACACCGGTCAACGTCTTCGGGCGTCTCCGGAAGGACACCGTAGTCGACAGCGGAGTCGACACAGTGTTGGAAGTGATCCCAGCTGACGCGATGGTAGTTGCGTCGGAAAGCTTGGAATCGGTTGACGGATGAACCCACATCGGCCACCACCGGATAGTGGTCCGAACTCAGCCCCTGATGGGTCACAGGTTGCGAAATGTTAGCACAAGCACGATGACACTAGCCTTATATAGTGGCTGCTGGTTGACTGCAGACACGTTATTGGTTAATCACCTGATCCAGTCATCTTTAAGCACGTTGTGGTGCATCAATTTTGCTCACACGCGTTTTGCTTCTGGCAAAATTATGAAAATCAACTCTTCAAGGGGAAATATTTTTGTCACCCTGAAAAGGACGGGTTTGGTTTGATGCGCATGGTCGTCTGTCGAGTGGCAAGCAAATTACCCGGCTGTTGGACCTAGGCAAAAGTGTAGCCTTGATATAAGACAGATCCCCAGTTTACGATGAACAACACGCACTATCTCGTGACGCCACTTATCACAGGTCCGTATTCATCTGGAAGCTAATTTGATGTTCTTCGGCATGACGATGACGCGCTTGATGAAGATAGCTCACAGTGGTGTTTCTCACGATGAGCAACTGTTCCTGAACAGTGGCGATGTGACTTCTTTACTATTTCTTTGGCTAGAGCGCTCTTGCAGGCAGCCTTGCAGCCTCTCCACCGGTCCGCAAGTCGTGTGTTGGGCGATCGATATGAACACGTTCGAAGTTCCAAAAGAAATGCGGCTTCGGCTTGTTTCGTTTGGGACCAACTATGGCTGTGTTAGGAAAGACACCTTGTGGTCTAAGCATGTGTATGAGGAATTTTAATGCTACCAATTTTAGTTAAATGTCTTAGCTGTTAAACTATTTTCATTATTTGTACTATATGCCACGAAATTGCTGAATGAAGCCCCCGTCGAATGGCATATTGCATGACATATTTCACATTAATGCTTTGGAAAAATATGCGTTCAAAACCTGACCACTTTTCGTTACATGTTCATTTTCCGTACTTGCAAAGTGTAGAAAGAATACAAATACGTAGTGAAAAGAATTTAAAGATTAATTTCAATAATGGAAATTCCCATTTTTGATATTATATAAGCTTTGCTTACCTATTCGTTTCTCTTCGCTCTCACTATGGCAAATCAAAATTGTAAAAATATTTGATTGCCACTAAAATAGGCTCATGCGCTAAAAATAATCCACCTTTCTTTTACGTAGAATAACGTCTTTCGGCAACATCGACCGCACAACGAAAAGTGGTCAGATTTTGACCACATATAACTCTGTCAATAGCGGATGGATTTTAATTCTAAACAAGCCAATCGATTGGAAATTTTTCTACAAATTTGCTGAAATGAACACTTAATAATTTACAATAGGTCACTTTTGAAAAATACACAAATCTCCAACTGTTGTAATGGTAATCAAAATTATTGCACTTTCCCTAACACAGATTTCAAAATCGAGTTGGGTTGGGTGCGGTCTCATCTGGTCTCACTGAACGGTGCTTATTCAAACGCCGTGTGTGGCGGTGTCCGGTCGATCATTATCATCAGCAGCAGTAGCAGTGAATATTGTTCTCCAGTACCCAACGAAGCATGCGAGCTGCAACCCACATGAACGTCCATTTACCGAAGAAGGAGGAAGAAGCCGCACAGATACTGATCGGAATCAGTAGCTCTTCGTGAGTCGATGTGGGCCATCTATGCCAAGTACGTCACTCTCGTTCCAAACAACATACAGCTCGCCAGTCTTATCTGTGTTGAACACCCTAATAGTTCATTATTACTCAACCATCATGACAAAACGGTTCTTTTCAAGACCACCGTAAATTATTGTTGCTTAAGAGTTAATCAGCAACGAAACGTTTGTGGTCAAATGCGCAACAACAGTATTGAAGTGATACATACAAATTCTCGCAATGGCCGAATACCATATGACCTTGCCAATTAACCAAAAACACTTTGAATTAAGGCAAGGTTTTCTCCAGGACGCTAGAGAAAAGCAAAAAATCTCGAATCTATATGAATTTTAGCAAGAAATTCCTCCAATCAATTTTTGCTTTTTTAATATATTGAATAAGCCAAAAATTCCAAGATGGGCAAAAGTAGTTTCCCTACCACAGAAAAGCAAAAAATCTCGAATCTATATGAATTTTAGCAAGAAATTCCTCCAATCAATTTTTGCTTTTTTAATATATTGAATAAGCCAAAAATTCCAAGATGGGCAAAAGTAGTTTCCCTACCACAGTCGCCGAATATTGAAACTGACAGGGATGGAAAATCATTTACATTCATTTCGTTCATTCATTTACATTCATTTGCCTCTAACTTTTTTCATCAACAGAATTCCGTAAAATAGTATTGGAAGCTGTTGCAGGCTTTGATATTAACTATATATTTTGTTAACAGCACAAATCTGTATCTCTTATGCATGATGAATCAGAGCGATAAGAACCCACCATTGTTTTTCAGTGAATGTTAATTGCATTCACTGAAACACAATAACATGTTCTGCCAGCTCTATTTCATCATGCATAAGAGATTCAGATTTTAGTTAATATCAAAAGCTACAAAAGCTTCATACATCATTCAACGGTATTCTGTTGATGAAAAAAGTTAGAGGCAAATGAATGTACGAAATGAATGTAAATGATTTTCCATCCCTGGATACCGAGCACGTTATCCTACGTAAAATTTTCGGTCGTGTCTTGGAGACAACCTCCTACTTTTTCGTTCAGCCCAGTAACAATAAAAGTTAACCATTTGAATGTAACGAAGTGCTAAATTTTTCAATAGAGTATCATATTGACATTCTAGTAGTCATTGAATTTGGAAAATTAATAAATTTTACCGCAGGAATCTACTTTGGTGTGAAAACGCAATATTTAATATTTTTATTTTTTAAATAGCTAGTATCAACTTTCCTCTCATCAACCTTCACGAGATGATTTTCAAATCTGTAATAGAATCTTACATTTCCCGTTTGGGTGTCGGAACATTTGATCAAATTCAATCAGACTTCACGCTGGAATTTCCTAATCTTTCCTTAAGATCCACCCTCAGCTCAACCTGATCATCTATTACGTAGCGAAAACATCTCCGTTCCGCAAATATTTGGTCCTTTTTCAATCTCTCGGGAGAGAACCCAACGACGCTCCCACTCTCCACCTCACAAACACATTTCAGCATAAACTCTCGCCATCCACCCAGCATTCCAGGACACAACCATAGCCAGGAACCGTCGCGTCGCTTTAGTCGATATCATCGGTAGCAGTCGGTGGCGGTGGCAGTGGCATAGACCAAGGATCCCATTCATGACCTGCTCTCGTTTCGCAAAAGCAGCAGTAGCAGCAGCATCACCAGCAATCCGCAAATCACTGTCCAGTAGAGTCTCGGCCGGCACCCAGTGAGCAAGCATTTTCAGAAAGAGTCCCCCACAAAAAAAAAAACGGTCGTCGTCGTTCTCGTCGTCGCCGTCGTCGTCGTCGTCGTCGTTCGTAGTTTGCTTTTTGTGAGAGGAAGACATAACCAGCATAATCATCCAGTTTTTCCTAAGCTCAGTGATTAGTGATAGCTGAAAGGGGCGTAAGAAGACCGCGAGGAAGAACAAGAGGTTCATCATCCGGGAAAATATCGCGTGATCCGTGTGGTGTGCAGCAGCGGACGGAAGAATCTCACCCGTTCAAGTGGAAAAGTGCGTGTCTTTTGGTCGTTTCAAAAATAAAAAGCGGAGGGCTGTGCCGTTACTCATAGCAGTTCGTCGTCGTCCTCGTCGGTCGGTGGAATTGTTGTGATATCTAAACCTCTGTGATGGGAATTTTATTTTGAAAGCCTCCCAACAAATTGCCAGGTGCTGGCCGGTGTCCCAATCGGAGCGAATAAAGGTGAATTCACTGCACGGAGAGAAATTCGGTGGTTGGAAATTTGTGGGTGGAAACGAAATGATGCAACTGGCCTGTCAGTGTCAATTCGAAGCAGCCCGAGAAGACGCAGTTGTCGTAGGTCAGGTGAACGGAGCTGAATCCTACATCTGCAGAATGTGCTAACTTTGAACCGGTTCCGGTTACAACGCAATCCGTCGGGCCATCGAGGAACGAGAGAGGGCAGCTTCACGCAATCATCAGCGGCGATTGTCGCACGCACGCACTCTTCAACAAATATAACGAAAACTCATAGCCGGCGACAATCGCTGATTGAATTTTCCACCGACGAAAACACCGATAAACCGAACCAACCATGTTCTCACTCTGCTCGAAACCAGCTTCCAGCAGTGCTTCGTCATCAAACCGCACTCAGCAGCACGGTAAGTTCTTCCCGACCTATAAATAGTGCATTACTGCGATGGGCATTTCGCGTTTTGGCATGGGCTGCTAGGGGGTGGCAATGAAATGCAGCCATGAATTGGCTCTCAGTTGATTGAATTCGATGCTGGATCGGGGAAGTTCTGTTTTCGCTTCTGCCTGAATGGATTTCTCCATGTGGTTCAATTTGGTACGTTGAACTCTATCTGGTTGTGGCTGGCTGTGGGTGGTGGTTCCCTATGTTGGTTGCTCTACTTTGAGTGCACGTTGGCATTTCCATTTAATGGTTAAGCAGTAAAAGGCAGCATCGCAGTAAATGTCGTATTACTTTTAACGAGCGCTAGAGAAATGGAATTACTTTGTTGCCCTTTCGGGTAGATGTGGTATTGGCCTTTTTGATTCGTCGCATGATAATGAGTCAATCTCAATCTTTTAGCTGAAGAAAGCATGTCTTTATCTGGTGACGATCATGAGATATTGGAAAGAAAAAGGTCGTACTGGTGCCACCTTTTGGCAGAAATTCAAAAGTAAAGAACCAAACGATTGCTGAGGCTTACTTAGAAATATATAGTGTTTCTCTAATTTTCGCATAAACCGGGCTGACTCATGCAATAGTTTTCAGGATTTGAGTAAATTACACTCAAAAGTTTGGAAAATGCGTAGAACTGTTCTCAATTTTGAATTAGTCTCAGTGGTCATCGTGACCACAGTTGACCTATTTGTGACCCTCAGAACAAGGCACCTACAAGTACGCTAACTGAAACATGTTTACTTTTCAATTGGCGAACGGCATTCGCTAACTGAAATGCGTTCCACGTGTCAAACCCATTGCTGATCAAATCAATTTCTCCTACACTAAAATTAGTTTAAAATCAATGCAATCTTATAAGATAAAGCAACTATAGTAATGACCCGATTTTTTCAACGACCTATCTAATTTATATTCTATGAAACCCATGCATGCACATTTTCAGTGGATTGCACCAAAGTAGAGAGAGTCTAGTGTAAGGGAGAAGCGGACTGAACCGATTAAAGCCAAACGATCCTTCAAAAGCCAGGCCAGTACAATTGTCATTAGAGCCAATCGATCAAGCCAAATCATTTATTATATCAAGCCGACTGCGATTGAAATTAAATTTTGTCATTTGACCCCAGGATGGTTCCGAAAACTTCAAGAACGTCCTGAACTACAAACAGGTTTTAGGATCTTCCAGATAAACTCCGATAGCTTCAGGGCAGTCCGATAGATTTCACGAAAACTTCTAGAAACTCAATGATGATGAAAAAGCTTCAGAGCAGTCCCATTAACTTAAGGAAAAATGCAAGAACTTGATAGAAGTGGCCATACCTTATGTTGAGTTATCGAGAAAATTAGGAGAACCTATATAAGAGCATTGAATTTACGAAACCAGGGGTAACGTAGAAATTTCAAAAGGAAAGTTTAGATAACTTAATAAATTTTTTTGAAGATTCCACTGAAGTTGCCCGAAATGCACGGAAATCGTCGGGAAGTTTAGAGATCTTTGCGGAAGTTTTATTAATTTAGGATAAATTTCAGGAACAACTTCAGGGAAGATTAGAGAACTTCAAGAAGGCATATCATCTGCAACATCAAGGTGGATCCATCAGCTTCAAGGAAACTGCAGTAGCTTTTAAGAAGTTCTATGATATCTGGGATATCCACAAAACTCGAAAGATGGCAAGAAATCATCTGTTAAGTATGCAGAACTTTAGGAGAATTGTGGAAACTTTTAAGAAAGCTAGCTCAAGAGATCTCCAGAGAACCTAATAGATCTTAAGATGTCAAGTTCAGACTTTCGGGGAAGTTTAAAGATCTATAATTTTTGGGAGAGAACACCAAGTAGTACTAAGATCTGTAAATGTTACATTTTATAAATTTACATGGTTTCCAGTAAATCCCGATTAGCAATTTCCAGTTTTTTCCGTTTTTTTCAGGGATTTTGTATTTTTTTTCCGGTTGTGCGATATACATTTAAATTAAGCATAAAACCAAATGCGATTGAAACGAAGAGAAGGTTCAATCAGAAACTACTAAGACAGCAGGATTTTTCCTAGATCATGAATTTAGTTCTGCGCTCAAAGTCTTCAAAATGCAAATCAATCATTGCAGACTAGAAATGTGCAATAAATTGGGAAGGTACCCTTAGTGGTTCTTATTCAGAAACTTGCTGGAACGTGTGAAACCAAAGAATTTCGTCCCATGTAACATGTTGCACACATTTGAGAAAATTTTAGAACTTGATGTGAAAAGTCAGCTGTTGGATTCTGTTTCCAGTCCCATGGGGAATAACATTGGACTGCCCCAGGGAAGTGTATTAGGGCTCCTTTTATTTATTATGTATATTGCAACGTGTTTTACGATGTTGCAATATTAATCTTTTGCAGATGATACTGTTTTATTCATTGCAGCTAAGATGATGTCGTTTTACACTTGAATGAAGATTTGGATTCTCTAAGTAGATGGTTGAAGTATAAACAATTGAAATTAAATATACGTTAAACTAAATTCATGGTAATTTCGTGGAATCGAGTAAATGAGAACGTCTCCGTTGTAATTGATGATGAGGCGATTGATCAAGTTCGGGAGATTAAACATCTTGGCGTGATTACAGATGACGAACTTAAGATTAACTCTCACATTGACAATGTCATCAAGAAAATTTCCAAGAAATGTGGAATTCTATGTCGAATGAAAAGTGATTTAACTATTACTAGTAAAATACAGCTATACAAATCAATCATCTCTCCTCATCTAGGCTTTTGCCCTTCCATTTTATTGTTGACCTATACATAACAAATATCGAGATTACAGCGCTTGCAGAGTAGAATAATGCATTTGATATTGAGATGTAATAGATTCACTTCCTCAACTTTGATGCTGGACACTTTACAATGTTTGTCGGAAAGCAAAAAATAGTATATTTGACGATGGTACTCATTTTTAAAGTAGTTAACGGTTTCCTGCCTCGATATTTGTGTGATCGAATTGAAAGAGGAAGTGATCTTCATAGATATAAAAAGCGAATCCAGACACATAAAGCAACCAACGATAAAGACAGAACGCTTGCTACCACTACCACGACAAACTCTCTCTGTAATTTAGCTTGATCGGAGTTGTAGAAGGATAATGATATATTGCTTGCCTGCTTTGTTGCAATATCCACGGTTGAGGACATCGGAATCGAGAAAAGGCATAACAAAAAAATCCCATTAACTCACGTGTATCATTTTCGGCGTAACTTCGTGAAGCAGCTTGCAAACAATTTGATCATTTCCTTCTCTGCCCGTGGCTAAAAATCACCTTAGGGGCCGTTTATAAACTACGTAGACAATTGTCCATACAAAAAATTTAAAATTTAAATGGGCCGTGGATAATTGTCAACCCCCCCCCCCTAAACTGTCTACGTAGTATATGAATAGCCCCTTAATAAAGATTTAAAAAAAAAGTTTGCTTCTACCGACCCGAGCGAGCTATATTGAATAGGCAATTTGTCATGAAAATATTTATTGCTTTCCATTTCTGACGTAGCTTTATCATTTTTTTTTTCTTTTTTTTCTAATACATTACTTACAGTTTTGTGTTGAAATGAAATGAAATGTTTCACAATTTCTTTTTTCTTCTTGTTTCTTCTTTTCTTTTCTTTGTTCTCTAGCTTCCCTTAACCTAACTTAAAGTCATTCGGCAGGTTGATCGCTTGTCATTTGGTAATTTTGGGATATTTTTGATTTTTACTTACTTAAGGGTCCTGTACACCACCGGACCCAAGCAACACACGGCCACCACATTAAGTTGCTGCAACTTTACTGTGACTGAAATAAGTTACACAGAAGTTACCACCACTGTTCAGTGACGAGTGTGTTGCTAAGGGAGATGCAAAGGGCCAACGTGTAAGGCTTCCATCCTGGGCGGCTGCTCTCTTTTACCTTGACCTGGGCCCAGGTCAGATTCCTATCGAATTGCTTTATTTCCTTGTTGAGGCTCCGCCGTCATGAGCCCCTGGGTCTGCCTCTGCTGCGATGTCCTGCCAGATTCCAATCCAGCGCTTGCTTGCAGATTTCGTTTCCGCCCCGTCGAAGTGTGTTGGCAACCCACCTCCACTTTCGGTCTCGAATTTCTGTTACTATCGGCTTCTTATGACATCGACGATGGAGCTCGGCATTCGAGATCCAATTGTGAGGTCACTAGGCACGAATTATATACCGCAGGTATCGGCTTATGAAGACCTGCACTGCCTTTAATCACATATCAGTCCCATATGGATTTTTGTCCATTTTGAGATAACAACGCTATCCACTATCAATTGGCATCTACTTTCATATTATGTGATAAAACTATGGACTTTGATTATGAAAAATGTGAAAACAACATCAGGTCAGTTTGTCCCATCAAGCAAAATAATCGAATATCAGTTCCATCCTGAACCAAATCGCCAATAGTTCAAGTTAAAGGTCTACTTTTTGAATTTGTAATAAATTTCGTTGATATAACAAAATATGCAAACTTCATTGCAACAGATTTTAACTTGAAAAAATTATCAATTAATTTACTATTATTGCACTTCCTAACTTCGACTGCCATTTTCTCGAAGCCTACTTTTTCCATATGGGACTGATATGGGATTATAGGCAGTGCAGCTTCTGAGTGTTCTCCGCTGATACACACCACGTCTCGCTGACGTTTAACAACACAGATTTCACGTTCGAGTTGAAAATTCGGATTTTGCTGCGTTGACTTAGCTAGTTTGATCTCCATTCGTTTCGTAAACTCGCAAAGGCTACCCTAGCCTTCTTGATTCGTGCACCTATGTCGCTCTTGGTCCCGCCGTGTGACGCTTTTTGGCTGCCAAGATATTGGAAACTTTCGACCTTCACCAATGCTTGCACCGCTACCGTAAAGTTGGAAGGGTTGCCCGTGTTGACATCCAACGGTTTGGTCTTGTTGAGACCCGACGCTTACTCTGCATATTAGAGCGCCGTTGGG